CTTGGGTGTGGCATTGAGAGGTTTGGTGCTGGTGAGGAAACTCCTGGGTGACTTCAGACATTTGCGTGCTGCAGGATGGTCATACGGCGGGTGTCTCGCATCTTCAGTTTGTCTCAATCGTTCTATATTGCTGGGCACCCCTGTTGAGATCCCTTTCCGGTAATACCTAGTGGTACCTGCAAATTCTGCTAACACTCCAAACCACAATTTTGACCCTACAAATTCTTTTGTTAAAAAAATTAAATTTTGAAATAACAGTATTCAAGTATGCATTTTCAAAAATCTTTTGTATGCAAATATCAGTCTCTCTTTAAAGATACAGCTACTGCACTGAAGATACAGTGAAAACTTTTAAAATAATAGAATGGTTCTTCCAATCCAGGTGATTGTGATAGTCACAATTTATAGAGGATCAGGAAGGACTTGAACACTGAGTCTGATTCCTTGTTGTTTTAGCTAACCCCATCATGTAGTCTTAAGTTTCATCTTAAAAGTCTGCTAGATTTCTCACCCCAATTACATAGCCTCAGTCGACTACATTTTGCACTCAGTTTAAATTTATGCATGGCCAGTTTATACCCCTGTGTTCTTGTGCCAGTTCAGCTTTGGTAGCTGTTCTCTCTCAGTATTTTTCCCTGCTGTTGTATCTATAGAGAGCCATTGTATCCCCCTCTTAGCCTTTGTTTTGTTTGGCTGAACAAGCCAAGGTCTTTTACTCTCCTCTCATAAGTTAGGCTGTCTACTTCCAGCATCTTTCTAATAGCATGTTTCTGGACCTGTCCCAGGATGCATTTATCTCTCTCAAACAAGGAGGAGCCAGAATCATACACTATGTTCTAGATGAAGTCTCACCCATATTCTGTGCAATAGCATTAATATCTCTTTATCTTTGAAAGAAACGCTTATTTTTAGCCCAGTGCATCCTTGAATTCTATTTGCCTTTTCCACAACTGCATCCCACTGTTGGGTCACAGCAATCCTGTGATCAATCACATGTGGAGAGAAGGGGTCTCCTGTCAATTCCCGTTGATGAGCTGCCCCATCGCAGCAGGAATTCTTGAGTCCCTAATTGCATTACCTTGTATTGTGTACTATTACAATTAATCCCATTTCTATTACTCTTGTCCCCAAGATCATCTAGTTTGTCCTATATGATATTCTGATTTTACTTTGCTGCTGCTGCTGATGACGATGCCTCCCAACTGTGTATCACCAGAAAATTTCACTAGCTCACTCCTGTTTTATGTGCCATGGTTATTAGTGAAAATACTGAATAAGATCATTGGCCCTGGATGAGGAACAACTAAGCCTGCAGATTAGATATCCTAGGCACTGAGGGAGCCACTAATCTTTGCCTTCTGAAATAACTATTGCTAATGAATGTTGCTACAATAAAGTGCTAAATACATTCTTTACCAGCAGCATACTTCCTTGCTTGGATTTTCTCTGTGTGTTATTTTCAGGCTTTGTCATTTTACTTTTAGCTTACTTTAAAAGCTAGCAATCTTAACTGTGCCGTCTTCTATATTCAGAGGAGGTAGACTTAGTTGAGCGAAGATCACTGTGATTTAAAATAGAAATTTCAAATCCCTGCTTACTTGTGATAACAGAACAGTAGGATAACACAATATTCAGCCCTTATGCAAACAATTTCCATCCATTATACTTGGGAAATAACCCTGGGAGAGTCTGCAGAGTGACCAATGTATTTTCATTCAAATCCCTCCTTAAGACTTGCCTCTCTCAGTTCCTTACAATACACTGCCACTTGGCGAGGTCGATGCAGACAATGAGCTGACACCACTGCCAGTTCAAAATGTGCTACTTTTATTGTTACTTTGTTCCTTTTCCCTACCCACATTTATTCATTTCATCCATATTTTGTGTCTTGTCATAAACTGGTTTTACTGGTGGCTGTTTTATTACTTGTTAGTATGGCACGTAGTACAGTGGGACCCTTAGATATATTCATAGTTTGGGTTATAATGACAGATAAATCACATTGCTGTGTCTTAAATGCTATTTTAAATCAAAACCTGAACTAAGAACTCACTTTTCATAGCAGGTGTGGCCAACCACACGTGGTACAGGCAGGCTGTGTGGGGCATGGGCAGACTGGGGAGGGGGCAGAAAGCAGAGCAGCAGATTGGGCAGGGAAAGGGGGTTGGAGTGGCACATAGGGAGAGTTCAGGGCTTAATTTGTGGCACATGTGCCGAAATGGTTGTGTCCCCCCCCCCCCCC